AATGATATACTAGAACCATACTGAAAGGATTTAATCAGAAGGCTTGAACAGAATAGAAAAAAATTATAATAAAATCTTGTGACTGACCAGAAAGTCTGAGACAGCTGGACCGTGATTGGCCATTATTTAGAAACAACCAGCATGGACCAATCACAGATGCACCTCTTGCATTCCACAGCAGCAGATAGTTATTGTTTTTCTTTTTCTCTGAGGCCTCTCAGCTTCTCAGGAGAAAAATCCTGGCCAAGGGAATTTTCAGAAAATATCATGGCTACATCCTGGCGCTCCAGCCCCTTCCCAGCTCCATTCCCATCTCTGGACAGTCTCCAGCCCCTCCATGTCTTTCTTATCATGAGGAGCCCAAAACTGACCCCAGCATTTGAGGAGTGGCCTCACCAGTGCCAAGCACAAGGGTCAATCACTGCTCTGGCACAAGATGCAACCTCCCATCCCTGTTTGTTTTTATCTCCCCCCTCTCCGTGCAGGTTCTAACTGAGCAGCCCTTATGACCAACATGAGCTGGAGCTTCCTCACCCGCCTGCTAGAAGAGATTCACAACCACTCCACCTTCGTGGGGAAGGTCTGGCTCACCGTGCTCATCGTCTTCCGCATCGTCCTGACGGCGGTGGGGGGCGAGTCCATCTACTCCGATGAGCAGAGCAAGTTCACCTGCAACACCAAGCAGCCGGGCTGCGACAACGTCTGCTACGATGCCTTCGCGCCGCTCTCCCACGTCCGCTTCTGGGTCTTCCAGATCATCATGATCTCCACGCCCTCCGTCATGTACCTGGGCTACGCCATCCACAGGATCGCCCGCTCGGCCGAGGAGGAGGAGAAGCTCAAGGGCTTCAAGAAGAAGAAGCAGTTTGCCCTCAACTGGCAGGCCGTGCGCAACATGGAGGACGCCATGGAGGCCGACGAGGAGGAGCCCATGATCTCCGATGACGCGGCCGAGCACGACAAGGCCACCAAGGCCAAGCCCAAGTGCAAGGAGCAGCAGAAGCACGACGGGAGGAGGCGCATCCAGCAGGAGGGGCTGATGAAGATCTATGTCTTCCAGCTCCTCACACGGGCTTCCTTCGAGGTGTGCTTCTTGATAGGGCAGTATCTGCTCTACGGTTTTGAGGTGGAAGCATATTACGTCTGCAACAGGGTCCCATGTCCCCACACCGTGGACTGCTTTGTGTCCCGGCCCACGGAGAAGACCATCTTCCTGCTGGTGATGTACGTGGTGAGCTGCCTGTGCCTGCTGCTGAACATGTGCGAGATGTTCCACCTGGGCTTTGGCACCATCCGCGACGCCATCCGCAACCGCAAAATCAACAGCTTCCGCCAGCCGCCCTACAACTACGCCTACCCCAAGAACATCTCCTGCCCTCCCGAGTACAACCTGGTCGTCAAATCCGAGAAGGCCACCAAGATCCCCAACAGCCTGATGGCCCATGAGCAGAACTTGGCCAACGTGGCCCAGGAGCAGCAGTGCACCAGCCCTGATGAGAACCTGCCCACTGATCTGTCCACGCTGCACAAGCACCTGAGGGTGGCCCAGGAGCAGCTGGACATCGCCTTCCAGAGCTACAGCAGCACCCAGGCCAACACTCAGCCCTCTCGGACCAGCAGCCCTGCCTCGGGGGGCACCGTGGTGGAGCAGAACAGGGCCAACACTGCCCAGGAGAAACAAGGTGCTAAGCCCAAGGCCTCACTAGAGAAAGGCAGCTCCAGCAGTAAAGATGGGAAGACGTCCGTGTGGATATAACTGCCAGGAAGGAGTGAGAGGGGCTTTGGTTTGTTTCTGGTTTTTGGTGTTATCTCGTGTTTGTATTGCAGGGCGCGGTTTTTGCGTGGAAGTTGAGAAAGTGAGTGTTGGACAAATTTTGTGCTGTCTTCCAGTTAACAAAAGACATTTCTT